CCCCCCCCCCCCCCGCCCACCCCAAACAGGGAGTGGCCAGGAAGGGAGGTGTAAGAGGAAAGGAAGAGTTCTTTCAGCTTCTCTGTTCTTTCAGCTTCCGATCTCTTTTCCTCCGTCACCCTGTCTGTGAGTATTAAGTCTTCCTAATTGGACCAGTCTAGGCTGGGGACTGGGCCCAGGTCCAGACACCCTGTCTCCCATCCTAGCCTGTCTCCTGGCAGAGGCTGTGGCTGAGATACTTCCCAGGGCCAGAGCCCTGATTGCCCGCTCAGACTGGCAAACCTGTGTCCAAGAAAAATTCCTCTCTGAAGAGTGACAGCTCGAGAGCCCTGCCCCTGCACCTCACCCCACTGTGTCAGAGACGCCCCTCAGAAATACAATCTTTTATTGTAAAAGCTTTGTTCTACTTGAAAATGCTGCCTTTGAGCAGGGGGCAGGGACTGGCCCAATTTCTATAACTGGTTCAGGAATCCACCCACATGATTGCGTTTGGCAGAGGCCTGACTGGGCGGATGAGTGCTTAGCAGTTTTGGTCTAACCCGATCGTCTGGTCATGGGTATGGAGGGAGAGGGAAAAGAAGGGATCCTTCCTGCCCTCTCTATCTGAGGATTGGGGGTTTTCCTGCAGATCCCCTAGGATCCTTAGTGCCCCAGAGGATGTGCCGAGTGGCTGAGAGTTCTGCCCCTCCTTTGTCCTGGGCCAGGCTTCCTACTGGATGAACATATGCTGCTCAGCTGGGCCTTGTGCTCTCAGGGCCAGGCCAGGCCCGAAGTCTCTGCTCTCAGGACAGAAATAGGTGGGTGCTGGAGGTGGAGGACCAGGGTGCTGTGACTCTGTTGACTGCCCGTCAGGATACCAGCGCCCTCAGGCTCTTACCAGCTTCTTTCTGTACTAACTCGGCACAGGAACAGAATGGTTTCCAGCCTCTGGCCTTCCTTCCCGTCTCTTTCAAATTTTATTTCCATTTCCTCCCCATCTCTCTTCTCTGTTCTCTTTTTTTTTCCTTCTTCTCCCTGATTTCTTCCTCAGAGAGTCTCATAAAATCCCAGGGTTGGAAGGGACCCTGAAGACTTGCCAATTTGAGGCTCAATTCTTTTCTTTTTTAAATTTTTTTTTTCAACGTTTATTTATTTTTGGGACAGAGAGAGACAGAGCATGAACGGGGGAGGGGCCGAGAGAGAGGGAGACACAGAATCGGAAACAGGCTCCAGGCTCTGAGCCATCAGCCCAGAGCCCGACGCGGGGCTCGAACTCCCGGACCGCAAGATCGTGACCTGGCTGAAGTCGGACGCTTAACCGACTGCGCCACCCAGGCGCCCCGAGGCTCAATTCTTTTCTACAGAGCCCTCGTCGGGTGGTTGCAGGACCTCCACTCGTGCTTATCCAGAAATGAGTGTGGTGTCTAAATGGCGTGTCTGCGCCGATCAGATGAGGGTCCCTGAATGTGGGATGATGATCGGGTGGCACCCAGTGGTGCGGGAGGTGAAAAGAATCCACCTGAGGCAGAACAGAGGAGATAGAAGTTTATTGAACACACTGCAAGGGAGCTGTGGACAGGACCGCAGAAGAGAGGCTGCAAGGAGGCAGTGGGCGTGGCT